TCCAGTATGAGTTCCCAGAGTATTTTCTATACTTACATATTTTAGTTTATGGTTGTGATGCTTTACACACTGCTGTAACTCTGTGCATAGCTTCTTTCTTGGTGAAAATTCCAGAGGGAAAAAGTTCATTGGCAGCATTGTTTTTCAATATCATGGTTGAGAGATAAAATGATGTGTTTAACTTCTAGGGTGTTTGATGTTTTTTGAGAGATTGTGGGCTTTTTTAACATTTGTGTATTTGTGTATTACCTCTGTTTTGAGACCTGTAGTTCCTAGATATTGTTTTCCACTTTTGAAAAAGGTTAATATTTTTTTATATTTCAACTCTTAGTAGTTCTAGTTCATGGCTACCGAGTCAAGTTTCAGTAAATTCAGATAACTTCACTATTTTAATGTGACTGTTAAGAAAATTTAAGCAAAGTCCCTAGTGATTGGAAAAAAGGAAACAACATTCTCATTTTTAAGAAGGGGAGAAAGGAAGACTTGAGCAACTACTGGCCAGTGAGCTACACATCTGTTCCTGGAAGATCATGTAGCACATGCTTCTCAAAGCTATATTAAGGCGCATGTGAGATGAGGAGGCTGTATGAGACAGCCAGCACAGCTTTACCAAGGACAGACTGTGCCTGACAAATCCTATGGCCTCCTATGAGGTGGACAGAGGTACAGCCACTGTTGTCATTTATCTATATTTCAGTAAGGCTTCTGACATGATCCTTATATCTAAATTTGAGAAATATGGATTTGAAAGGTGGATTACTCAGTGGATAAAGAATTGGTTGGATGGCTGCAGCCAGAGGGTTGTGATCAATGAATCTATGTCCAAGTACAGGCCAATCAGAAATGGTGATAGGCAAGGAAGGAGGGACAGTAGCGTGGCTCTGTATGTTATAGAGTTTCAGTGTTGGAGAGTTCAGGGCTGGGAATGATAAGGGTGAATCTTTATGGGTAAGGATTGTGAAGAGTCAACATAGTGGACTATCTGGTGAGGATCTGTTATAGACTGCCTAACAGGATGAAGAGATGAATGAGGCATTCTAAGAGCAGCTGGCAAAGTTGTGTAATCACCAGCCCTTATTCTTATGGGGAACTTTGATTTCCCTGATATATACTGGAAACATAATACAGAGCAGAATAAGCAATCTAGGAGATTTCTAGAGTGTGTGGAAGACAACTTCCTGAAGCAGCTGGTAAGAGAGCCCTGCTGGGGAAGGTGCCCCATTAGAACTGCTGCTCGTGAACAGAGAAGGATTGGTGGAGATCAGGAACTGGCTTGGGCAGAGCAACCAAAAAATGGTAGAGTTGTCTATTCTTAGTGAAGTCAGGAGGCGGGTCAGCAAAACTGCTACCTTGAACTTCTGGAGGGTGGACTTTGAACATGGCTGATAGTGATAGGACAAGGAGGAATGGTTTTAAACTAAGACAGGGGAGATTTAGATTAGATATTAGGAGGAAGTTTTTCACTCAGAAGTTGGTAATGTACAGGAACAGGTTGCCCAAGGAGGTTGTGGATGCCCCATCCCTGGAGGCATTCAAGGCCAGGCTGGATGTGGCTTTGGGCAGCCTGGTCTAGTGGTCGGTGACCCTGCCCACAGGGGGGGCTTCAAACTAGATGATCTAGGTCCTTTTCAGCCCAGGCCATCCTACAGTTCTATGATTTTGTGATGATAATAAAGGGATCCAGGTAGACTGGACACTCCTCAAGAAGAAAGTGTTAAAGGCCCAGGAGCAGGGTGTGTGCATACGCTGTAAAATAAGCTGTTTGGAGAAGACAACTGATGTGGATGAACAGGGGACTTTTTCTGTGGTTCCAGGAGGAAGAGAGTCTACCTCCTGAGGATGGAGGCCTCGGGGAGAATACAAAGAAATTGTTAGGACGTGCAGGGAGAAAATTAGAAAGGCAAAAGCCCAGCATGAACTCAACCTGGCCAATGTAGTAAAAGAGAATAAAATACTTTTTTACAAATATGTTGGCGGTAAAAGGACCAAGGAGAATCTCCATTCTTTAGTAAATGTGTCAGGAAATGTGACCACTGAGGATAAGGAAAAGACTGAGGTTCTCAATGCCTTCTTTACATCTGTCTTTAAAAGTCAGACTAGTTATCTTCGGTGTACTGTACCCACTGACCTGGAAGTCTGGGATGGGGAGCAGAATAAACCCCTCACAATTCCAATGGAAGAGACCTACTATGCCAACTGGAGTCCTTGGAGCCAGTTGGGATTCACCCCAGAGTGCTGACAGAGCTGGCAGAGATGATTGCCAAGCCTCTTTCCACTGTCTACCAGTGGTCCTGATCCCAACGACTGGGGGCTTGCAAATGTGACTTCCATTTACAAAAAAAAGTCATAAGGAGAATCTGGGAAACTACAGGCCTGTCATCCTTCTCTTGGTGGCTTGGAAGGCTATGGAACTGGTCATCTTGAGTGAGATCACATGGCACGTGTAGGACAACAAAAGTATCAGGCCCAGCTGGCATGTATTCATGAAAGTCAGGTCCTGCTTGACCAACCTCGTCTCCTTCTGTGATTGAGTAAGCTGCCTGGTGGACGAGGGAAAGGTTGTTGATGTAGTCTACCTAGACTTCAGCAAAACCTTTGACACTGTCTCCCACAGTGTTCTCCTGGAGAAGCTGGCAGCCATGGCTTGAAGACATATACTGTTTGCTGAGTAAAGAACTGGCTGGATGGCCAGAACCAAAGAGTGGTGGTGAATGGGGTCAAATCCAGCTGTCGATGAATCACCAATGGTGTTCCCTAGTGGTCAGTACTAGAGCATATCCTGTTCCTGTATTTATTGATGCCCTGGATTATGGCATTCATTGCACCTTCAGTAAGTTTGCAGATGACAGCAAGTTGGCTAGAAGCATTGATCTGCCTGGGGGTAGGAAGGCCCCACAGAGGGACCTGGATAGGCTGGATCACTGGGCTGAGGCCAATGGGCTGAAGTTCAAGAATACCAAGTGCCAGGTCCTGCACTTTGGCCACAACAACCCCAGGTGATGCTACAGACTTGGGGCAGATTGGCTGGAAGACTGTGTAGAGGAAATGGACCTGGGCGTTTGATTGCGTTGATTGATGCTCGACTGAACATGAGCCGACAGTGTGCCCAGGTTGGAACTGGGCATTGGTCGAGAAGGAGGCCAATGGCATCCTGACTAGTATAAAAAATAGCGATGCCAGCAGGAATAGGGAAGTGATCTTCCCCCCTCTACTCAGTCCTAGTGAGAGCACACCTCGAGTACTGTGTTCAGTTTTGGGCCTCTGGCTGCAAGAAAGACATTGAGGCCCCGGAGTGTCTTCAGAGATTGGCAACAAAGGTGGAGAGGGATCTGGAGCACAGGCTTTATGAGGAACGGCTGAGGGAACTGAGATTGCTTTGTCTGGAGAAGAGGAGGCTCAAGCGAGACCTTATTGCTCTCAACAACTGCCTGAAAGGAGGTTGTGGTGAGGTGGAGGTCAGCCTCTTCTCCCGTGTAACTGTTGTGATAATAGAGCTAGAGGAAATGTCTTTAGGTTGCGCCAGAGGAGATTCGGGTTGGATATTAGGAAAAATTTCTTCTCTGAAAGAATGGTCAGGTGCTGAAATGAGCTACTCAGTAGGAGATTGAATCACCATTCCTGGAGGTGTTTAAGGAACGCTTAGGTGCTGTACTAAGGGAGGTGGTTTAATGGGGAAGTATTGGTCATAGGTGGACAGTTTGACTGGATGGTCTTGGAGATCCTGTCTAACTTTGGTGATTCTACAATTCTGTGAAAATTTACAGAAGTGATTCCATTTTAGGGAAATTTTCCTGGTAATTAATGTTACATCTGTTTTTGTCAAGAATCAGAAATGAGGCAGAAATTTTAATCTTTACAACTTACTAAGGCACAGAACAGTTTCAGTATCTATGTGAGATATAAGATTCAGGCAGTGCATGTGAAAAGTGATAATAGACCTGATTAACATCATCCCTGATCATCAAATCTATTTTGGAGTTTATTATTCTGTAAGGAATTGGGCATATATTTTCAACTCAAATATTTGAAGCATGTATAACAATTTAGGACAATCATGCTGTAAAAGCTTGGAAATTTATTTCAAATATTAAATGTTGTAAATAATTAGATAAAGAATAGTAATACAGGGAGTGAATAACATTTGACAGTGAAGGTCTGTGTTGAATTTAAAAAACAAAAAAACCCCACCATAGATTAGATTTGAAGAAAGATTTTTGTAATTTTAATCTTTTTTTTTTTTGTCCTTTTTTTTTTTTTGTTTGTTTTGTTTCCATAACAGCTGGAATGATTCTTATCCTGGTAATACGTTATCAAGCATTTGCTGTTATTTTAAGTGAAATTTTTATGATAGTATTTAAATAATGAGAAATGTTCAGTTTTTTAAAAAATATTTGGAAGATCCTCTTTCAATGCATTTTTTTCTGAAAGAACAATACAGAATTTCCAAAATCATAGTATATTTATGCAGACACTTTGCCTTTATGATATTTACTTAGAAGCTGATTACATATATTAAACTAAAAACAAACAAAAACAACAACAAAAACTTTTTTAGAGGAGGTAAGGAAAATAAGTATGTATAAGTAAGTATTTATACAGTTATATTCCAAACAATATTGATTTTGTTGTGAATCAGTGTTTAGACAAAACTGGTTACAAAGCTAAATAACTTTGGACGTTGGCCAAAGTGTGTTGCCATTGCATGTTAATTTTTGGGTTTATATCTTCAGATGTAATCAATAATCAATACTGGCATCTTCTTTCAACTTATATATTAAGTGAACAAACTTATTCTAGAAAGCTAAAATGTTGGCAAATTCGACTGGAACAGAAACTTGAAGAACACAAGCAAAAGTGGAAAACCATTGTATTTTTGTCTGCACGTTCAATGTTTTGTTCTTTTATTTATGAATTGACTTCATTTAGTGTAGTGTGCATTCATCAGTTTTTCTCTAAATATCAAAAGTTAACTGTAAGTATATTTATGTTTACTTTGGTAGTAAAAAAAGATGAGGAAGATTTTGAAGAAAAGAAATCCATTAAGAAAAGAATCAAAGAACTAAAAGTTTTGGACCCCAAAATTGCACAGAATCTGTGTAAGTAGAATCTGTTTTTATGACAAAGTAATGTCATAAATGTTCCATAAAAATTTTTCTCTTTTGTTTGACTGCCTCACAATCACTTTTTGTTTACAGTGTTTGAGAATATGCTTATATGTGTACTAATTGGTGTTAAGCTCAAATGTGCAAGAATTTAAACATGTTCTTATAAAAAGAGCAGAAAACAGCGAAGCAATATCCTTCATTTAAGACTCAAATTATTCTCTATGTGCCTGAACAATTGGGTACAGCTGTATACCTGTGTATCTATTTTTATCATCGGTGTATTCGTGAATCATTATTGTCCCTTAGCCAAAAAGTTAAAAAAGACTGTAATGCATAGTCATTTCTCATGAGTTTTGTAGGAGTAAAACTATAATTAGGCCTACTAATATACAAAAAAAGGATGCTAAAGTTTTGGCAGGGAGGAGTGCTACAATGAATTTTTGGACATTGAAGGACATGGTTTAGTGAGAACTATTAGTTATAGGTGGATGGTTGGACTGTATGATCTTGTAGGTCTTTTCCAACCTTGGTGTTTCTGTGATTCTGTGAATAGGTAACAAAATGCTGGCAGAATTGAAACAGGAAATTATTTGATTATATTGTAGAAATGAACAGTTTTTATTAGAATATTTTGATCTTTTAACTGCTTTATGGTTTTGCTGGTTGTAATCTTCTCAAGCTGCTCTTCTGTGAAAAAGCACAAGAAAGACTGGTCAAGAAAAATGTGCAATTGTAATCTCTGCAAAAACTAATATGGTGGCAGCAATTGTTCTTGAGAGTAGACTTGTCACTGGTTATCTTCCACAATGCCAAATGTTATGTTTACCAAACAAATGGAAAAGGCTGAAATTATAGGAGAAGAGTAATTAAAAATATGTTTTAAATTGTTTTCTCTTACCTATATTTCTTTATGTAGTGCTTGTTGACTTGCAGATGCCATAGCCTGCTTAACTAATATTCTACAAGTAGAAAAAAGATTGTTGTTGTCTTGTGTTCTTCACTGTTGGTTGAATCTTTATTTTAGCAATTTTCCTTGGATCTTTCCGAGTGCCTTACGAAGAAATTAAAATGATGATTTTGCAAGTAGATGAAACACTACTCTCAGAGTCCATGATTCAGGTAGGGAAACTTATGTTTCATCTCAGTATTTCAGGATAAGTTTCTCATTAAATAGATTATGTGCGCCTAAAAAGCTTCTGAAACCTAAAATGTTTGGCTTGTAAATCACTGCAGTAATATTTTTTTTCTGTGAATTCTAGTTCTTTTTATATTTGCAAAGCTATTTTTAATGAACGTAGCTGTGTTGATATTCTGTGTTTTTTGTATTCATATTCTTCATACCTAACTGGACATTTTGTTTATATATTTTTAAATTGCATATGATATTTTGTTTGTTTCCTTGTTACTAGTATTAAAAATATATATTTCAGGCTCAAGTGCCATAGGTGTATTTTTCTGGTTGGAAACTAGGCCAAAAAATATCATTTTTTTATTTTGTCTTTCCTCTTTCCTGTTCTCTCAGAGCTGATATAATCCAGAGTCTTGCCTTAGGGCATTCACAGTGACCGCTTCTCTTCCTTAGAGCTTATTTGGGTAGTTTTTTCCTTTTCTGTATTATTTTATTCAGTGTATGACTCTGTATGGAGACAAAAGATACTCAAAATTCCTTATGTTTTTCTTTTCACAGTGTCATTTAAAAGATGGCAAGCTAAAAAATTCTATAGAACTAAGTTTAGTAGAAACTCTTTATTCTAGAACCATGGGAAAAAAACATTTGGAAGAAAGGTCTGTAGGTCATCTGCTCCAATCCCTTGTCATAGCCAGGTCAGGGAGAGGAAGTTGCTCAGGGCTTTTCCCCTTCCGATTTGGACTCCAACTAAAGTTGGAGACTCCATAGTTTTCTAGACACATTTTGCAGTGTTGAACTACTCTTATAGAGAAAAACTTTTTCTTAATTATTCAGCTGGGTTTTTCTTTTTTTCTACTTGTGGCCTTGGCCTTCTGCTGCACTCCTCTAGGAGAAACCTTATTCTATCTTTATGCCCTCCAGTTGGGGTACCTGAAGACCATGTTAAATTCTCTGGCAGCTTGTTTTGTTTAAGTGGAACAGTCTCAGTTCTATCAGATTTGCCATGCCCCTATGTTGTATGCTATGACCCCCAGTCATCTTGATGACATTCCATTTGATTTGCAGAGATGCTTCTTTAGACCAAGATTATCTTTCTTTCATATTAATATCTTTATCTTTCTTACATATCAATATTATGAAAGACTGGCATCTTCATAATTTCTCTCTACAGAGAAAGTAAAATGGTTTTTGCATCCTTGGGGTTTAGGGAAATAGATCAGCCCATTAATGGCTTGTTAATTAAAGACATTCTTCTATGTGAACATGTAGCAATCATTTAATCAACTGTGACAAGTTAAGAAGAAAATATACTTTCACAGAGAATTGTTTACTTTCCTCTGATTCTCCTGTGATGTATTATTTCTATTTGAATGCTATGTACCTTGGAATAGGGAACGCTTACTTTTCTCTATCTTTAAAATTGTTAACATGACCAAGCTCTACTCTAGTCTCTGTTAATAATAGTAATGGTTAATAATAGTACCAGATACTGTTTTCATATTATGCTGTTGCTTTGTTGTTGTTGAAGTGTTTTGTTTTTTTTTTAAATTGTTAATTTATTTATTTATTTATTTATTTTTAATATTAACAGTAGGGTAAGTTAAAAAAGCATATTCAGTAAGCTGTCTTTGTATAAAGACTGCTCTGAAGGTGATGTCTACTATTTATTTCCATAGAAACTATAACAAATACGAAGAACTCAACAATAATATTTGATGGAGCAAATTCTCAGCTATGACACATTAGTTTCCATCATTGTCACCACCAGTAACTATGCATTTTTACTAGCAATGAAAAAGTGCCTGCATGCTGCACTTATAAAATGCACCAGCTGAGGTGACTTACTGCTTCACATCTGCTATGATGGTGTCATTGCTAGGAAAATGTTGCCAATGCAGTCAAACTTTCACTGTACTAATGTCCACTGTTTGGTCTCCATAAACATTCACCAATCATTGAAGAATGTCACTAGGTGCCATTTTTTTTCCCACATGGAGGATTTCAGTTAAACACTTTTGCTTCATACGCACTTTCATGTCAATCACCATCTTGTCAGGCTGCCTCTCTGCTGATAAAAGGACTGCCTTGTCCTTTTTTCTTAACAAGGCTTAGACTCCAAATTTACCTTGCAAGCTTGTGTGTAATCATTTTTTTTCAAGTGGCTTTATCCAGGTTTCTTGTTTCTGGATAAAATGGTTTTGTAATAAGTTTGAAAACAATGTCATCCGAGTTTAAACTTCAAAAAGCACTTAGACAGCTCTCTTCCTTTGAAAGTGGTTGACTCTTGTGCCTCATTACCTTAAAAATCCTAGTAGTCACCTTTATATATGCCAGGGTTACTAAATAAATGATAATACCCGTCTGTATGTCTCTGTTCTGCCTTTACAAACCTTCACAAATATGGCTTTTGGACATCCAATGAAAATGTAGTTCTGTGCATTTCGTGATTCTGAGAAAAGCAAAAGCATACATATGTTTACAAGCATGCGGCTGTTTTTATTTATTTATAAAATACATCAAATATTTTCATTCTTCTTCTATTCAGAAATTTCTTATCATTCATTTCTGATTGTCTAGCTGTAAATATTGTCCAGTACATCACTGTTCTTGAGGTTGGATACTTTTCCTTAATCATAACCTTTTCGTTATATAGAAGTAATATGTATGTGTCATTCGTGTCTCTTTATTCCAATTTCCTCCATCTTCCTGTAAGAAATTAAATCTAGTTTTGAAAGCCATAAGAACTCTGAATTTTATGCTGTGATCCAAATAGTCATTGACCAACTATTGGGATGTTTTTTGTGAATTAGTCAAAATTATATCTCCCGTTTATTCTCTGATATTCAAACTGTATTTTTATCACTAGCAATTCTAAAACATTATGTGAACATTACACAGCTTCTCTGATACCAATCACTACTTCAGGCTTTTTTCTGGTGTTCAATATTGAAAACATTCATATAGCACTTGACAGTTTTTTTTCAGAAGTTTTGTGATCTGTTTTTCTACGTGTGAAAACCATATTATCAAAATGAGCTTTTAATCTCTGTAAAAATTAAGGAGTTGTAGTTAAGATATTGGTAATAATTGGTTATGTAAATTTTGTATATCAAGACAGAAATAAGTTCATAAGATTATGAACTCCTAATTTAAAAAGTGTTTTTTTACACTCAGAATCTCTGTGCCCTTTTGGTGTTTGCTGAATTTTATAGATTTAATCCTGGACATCTTAATCCATAATGAATAAAGGCAGTCTGTTTTTACAAAGAATATTTTTCAATTGTAATAGATAATACTGCCATAAATTTGTCATGCTGTAAATTAGCCTGAACACATCCAGATCCATAAAATTTAATTTTGCATTATTTAAAGCATAATAATTTGTGCATTTTTAATACTGCTATTTTTTTTTTTAAACCAAAAGTCTTATCTCATTATGGACTGTATTGAAACTGTTCATTCCATAACTATTGTTTAGTCTTTGGTGTATTTCAGCCATTGAGTGTAACTCTAACTTTCCTTATTTGCAGACTTTACTTTCTTGAAGTAAAACAAATCATTTGTCTTAGTCCTTAGAATAAAAGTGGGGTTTCAGTTCTTAAATAATGTGTATTTTTACAGTATTGTCTAGTAATTTAACTTCAGAATATGGCAATAGGCAGTGGGAGAACTGTGATTGCTAGACCTGATGCGGTATTAGAATGATTGTATCCTTAGTTCAGAATACTGTCCTTCCTAGTAGTTGAAGGAGTTTTTTAAGTAAGAAGACAATCTTTCTCTTGTTTTCATACTATGATGGAAGCTTAGCCTCTGTGTAACCAGGAACACAGGATTCATGACATGAGTAAGAAAGCTGGATAGAGGAATCCTGAATATAGTAGTTATATAGCCTGAATATTGCCTAGTAGTTATAGCAGACATCTTGGGAAAGGACAGAACTGAGCTACTAGCTGTCAAATTTAGGCATAATTGGATCTTTGAGAAGCTGTCTTCCAGAACTTGCTCAGAATAGTCATTTTCACTTTACCTACTACTTACCTGGTAATTAGAGTGGAATACAGAAGTCCATATATAAGCATAGGTGCCTAAGTACTCAGGAAGCTTCAGGGAATCTGAAGACTTCTTAGATGATCAGGTGTAGGGTGACATGTTTAGATTTCTGTGTTGAAATGACATTCACTTATGAAAGTGAATATGACCTCTTGAATTTAGCTGAAGCTGAGACCTACCTCTGAAATCCTATTTCTCACAAGTCTGTAGGCTAAGTAGTGTCTAATGGGTTTAAAGTTTTGTAAATATGGATGTTACCTGTCATCAATTTACAATCAAATTTTTTTTTTTTTTTTAAATACTAGAAAATAAACTATCCATTTCCACTAGTGATTTTTGCCATCCTTTAGTTAGGTGTGTTACTTGTTCCTTGTCCTATTTACTTTAGTTTTCTTTGCATAACTTTATTTTTATTTTTATTTTTTTTTTAATTCTATTTTGGAAAAAGGCTACAGAAACATATACATTGATGGAAACAGCAGCTGATGGTAGTCACTTGCTTTCTACACTTTGTTACGTCAATTTGTATGTTACCTGTTTACATTCTACCAACCTTGGTACAGCAGTGTTATCTTTGGAATTTATGTTAATAAAACATAAGTAATACTGCTTACATGCAATTATATAAGCAATGCAGAATCTGAGATTTCTAAATCTACTTTCTTTTTCTTGATAGAATTTAATAAAACATCTTCCAGAGCAAGAACAACTGAATGCATTGTCAAAGTTCAAGAATGAGTACAATAATTTATCTGAGCCAGAGCAGTTTGGAGTTGTGGTGAGTTCTACTAGTGTTTCTTTTCTTTTCTTGCCTGAAAAACAATTTTATTATACTGATATAGAAGCATTACCAGCTTCTTCCTAAATGTGAAGAGGTTGCATATTAAGAGCAGACTGTAGTTGCTGCTTTTTAATTGGACTTTCAAGGGACATATGCATGGATGTGGAAGGCCTGATTGTTATGTCCTCTTTTGTTAAGAATGTAATTTAGTTAAGACTAAACAAACAGAAAAATTTTATTTCCTGTGGCACTGGGAGATAAGGAGCCATTTTTGGATTTCAGTACTTAAAATTGTTTGACTTGACCTTTATTTGCACTGATAAATCATTATCAATGATATTATTGTTATGAGTGAAATTTTCTGCATTTTGTGGTTTTCAGTGTGATAAGCAGCCAAGCTCCTTTGTGCTTCTCTCTCACTCCTCATCTGTAAAAGAACAGGGAGAGTAAGTACAATGAAAAGAAAGCTTACAGGTTGAGATAAAGAGAAAGAGATCACTCATCATTTACCACCATGAGCAAAACAAGGTAGAGAGATTAATGTTATTTATTGCCAACAGACAGACTAGAGTAGCAGGAACTAGAAGCAAACATCCCCCCATACAATTTCTTCTAACTCTTCTCCCTGGGTGCTGCAGGGGAATGGGAAATGATGGGAAATGGATGCTGCGGTCAATCCAGAATGCTTTATCTCTGCTGTTCCTTCATGGTCACTCTCTACCCTTCTCCAGCATGGGTTTCTTCCCATGAGATGCTGTCCTTCCCAAAATAGACTGATGTGGGCTTCCCACAGACTGTAGCTCTTCAAGAACTGCTGCAACATGGGTCTGTACCATGGGGGTTGTGCAGTACATCAGGAATGGACTTCTCAATCATGAATCCCCTTGGGTCTGCAACTTTTGTCAGACCGACTCCATGGCTGCAGCTCTGGTCTGGGGCTACTCCTGTGGGAGCTCTCCATGGGTTGTGTGCTCTTTCAGGCCACATCTACCTTCTGCACTGTGGGCTGCTGTTGTACATAATTTTTTTCCTTTCTCAGTAGCTCTGCCCTGGCCAGTGATGGATTCCTTTTGGAACTGGCTGGAGCTGGTTCCAGTCTTACATGGGGCAGCTTCTGGGCTGTTCTCAAAGATGCTAATCTCTGCAGCGCTCCCTTGTGCCCTGCCCCCAAACCTTCCCGTATAAACTTGATACACACTGATGTTTTTTCTTTCTATTCTCCATGTAAACGAGAATAAAATACCATTGATATCATCATGTTAAACTATTCTGCATCTTTCCTCCTATATTTTATAGTACGTGCAATCAAGAATTATTACAGTCACTTTTTCCATTCCCAGTGGGAAGATATGTTTATAACATCTCCCAGGCTGACAAGAAAAGGAAACATTGTTGGTTCATTGGTGGTGGTTGATAAATACAGTTTTGGAATATCATGTATATAGCCCATAATTCATAAATATTACAGATTTTGTCCTAACAAATACAGAGCAATTTCTTTTCCCAGATGCACACATCCATATAGGTCTCTGATTTTCCTTGTCCATTCGTCATGTTTCAAGCTAAGATGATCACTGTCAGCTTCATCCAGGAGGATTTCAAGGAGAGGAAGTATTACTTTTAGATGTATCTCTGGATTTGGGAAAAGGAGTATCATGTCATAACAATAGATACTTTTTGTTGGCAGTTATCTGTGTGAATATCAACTATTTGTACCTAAATTTTAGAACATCTGGACTACAGGTACATTGTGGATTTCCTAAACTCCTTTTTTGACCTGGAATAATAATCTTCATGTTAAGAAAAACAATGTAATTAGAAGCCAGACATACCAAGTTTGGTTTGGATTCTCAAACTGAAAATTTAAATAATAAATTTAGTGAAATTTAATGAAACAGAAATTTCAGTGAAATTTCTGTATCTATATAAATTCTGATGGTAGAGGCTCATTTGATGTAAATTTTGCAATATTTTCAGAGGAGTTGATTAATGACAAAATGGAGGGTAAAATGTTATTAGAATGACCATGATACAGGAAAAAAATAAACAACAAAACACTCTTTCACTTTTAAGCATGCCATCATCTTTTGGCATGAATGTGGTCCATGTAAACATTGAGATGACACACTGATGAGCATCATAAGCCAAGAGAAGGAAGCTAATAATGGGATATGTTAGAAGGACATTTTCTAGCTCAGTTTTTTTTTGTTGTTGTTGTTTTTGTGCCACAGAAGCTAAGTCTTTCTGTGCTGGTCAGAATTGCACCCCTGACATGCGGAAATCAAACTCTATAACCAGATTAAGGATATAGAGCAGTTTACTTCAGCAGTGCGCATATGCTGGGTGCAAGGGGGATAGATCCTCCTAATTTGCACACCGTGAGGAAAAAGCATAGAATCATAGAGTCACCAAGGTTGGAAAAGACCTAAAAGATCATCCAGTCCAACCATTCACCTATTCCCAATAGCTCCCACTAAACCATGTCCCTCAACACAACATCCAGCCTTTCCTTGAACACCCCCAGGGTCGGTGACTCCACCACCTCCCTGGGCAGTCCATTCCAGTGCCTGACCACCCTTTCTGCAGCAATACCTGAATGGTGGTATGGCAATAGTCTGTCAATGAAAGTCCACTAGGCAGATCAGTGCAGTTAAATTATCAGTCACAGAATCACAGAATCACCAAGCGTGGAAAAGACCTACAAGATCATCCAGTCCAACCATCCGCCTATCACCAATCGTTCGCACTAAACCATGTTCCTCAACATCCCTCAACACAAAATCTAAACATTCCTTGAACACCCCCAGGCTCGGTGACTCCACCACCTCTCTGGGCAGCCCACTCCAGTGCCTGACCACCCTTTCTGAAAAGTAATACTTCCTCATGTCCAGCCTGAATCTCCCCTGCCGTAGCTTGAAACCATTCCCTCTGGTCCTATCACTAATGACACGAGAGAAGAGGCCGACCCCCAGCTCACTGCAACCTCCCTTCAGGAAGTTATAGAGAACAATGAGGTCAGATATAAAAGATATAAGCAGATATAAGCTGAACTAATACATAATCAATTGTTTTCCAGGAATTTGGATGCATATTCATTACATTCCTGAGAGTCCATTAGCATGCAGACCCTCCACCCATGTGCGTGTGTAGTGGGTTGTGGGATGAAGAATCAGTCTTCCTTGTGAAGGCTTGTGGTCTTCCTCGCTGCAGGCTTCTGACTTGCGGGAGGGGAAGCCCCCAGACTGGTTTTTGCTTGCCATCATCTAGATGATAGATTGACATCTAATCCTCTCACTGCCAGATGTCCTCAGGCTGTTCTCAAACTCTTATCTTTATGGCCTCCATCTCCCTCATTGTCCCAGACCCAGCGTCTGCTATCCCCACTCTTCTAACAACCTCCACATATTTGCTTCTGTGAACTATCTCTAAATTCCCCTATCCTCAGTCCCTGTGAAACCCTTTTCTCATCTTTTACTGTGGGGCCTTTCTCTTGTCCTGTCCTTCACCCTCATTCTGTAAACATTTTTTTTTTAATTTTTATTTTTTGTTTAATTTTTATGTAAACATGAAACTTTACTTTTTCTTAATAAATGTGGACATACTGTGTGTGTGTATATATATATATGTAAAGAACTAGCATCTGTTCTAGCATTCAGCTTGCTACATGCTTCACTTTTGCTCAGTATTAAAAGTTCATGGCTTCCTTTAAATTTGATATTAGAAAATTGAAAGGGTAGGCTGATTATGTAGCAGAGAAGTTCATACATATCAATGTTACTGAGAGAAATTCAAATGTTCTTTGCTGGAGCATGATGCTGCTCTCTGATAACCTTGTTACAAACCATGTCTGCCAGGATGATAAGAGAAAAGCATGCATCTAAACTTGAGCAGCTTTGAGTCTTACAAATTATGGAAAAAATGCTAGTAGAGATGGATTTGTACCAGTAAATTTAACTACAGATTCATTTGGTTAAGGTATAAACATCTGTTTGACCATGCCAAATAATTTCAACAGTAATATATTTGTAATTGATTTGTTGAAGAAACAGGACAATGACATGCTAGTTTATACATTTTCATTGAATTAGTAAAATTAAAAGTTAAGTAGCAAATGTTTTCTCCATTTTTATCAAGAATAACTACTGATTTTAAAAAAGAAAAAAAGACATTTAAAAGTTAATTCCACATAGGTTAAAGCTTGATTGGCTTTTTTTTTTTTTTTTTTTTTTTTTTTTTTTTAATGTTTTCAACCTAAGTCTACTGAGAAGTCTGCCTTTGGTTCTTTAAACATTCCAAATTTACTACAGTTAGGCATACTGACAGCAGTAGTAAATCTGAAATTTACAGTGAGTTAGTGTTTTCCAAGTGGTCAGGAGACCCTGCATCAGTTCTTATGGTTACCTGTCAGCATGAAAAGAGGACATTGCTTACTGGAGGCAAAAGCATGTTTAGTTTGCAATTTTTGCTGTCGTTAGAATAACATAAATAATGAGAGCTAATTTGCATTTTAAAGACTAGTCTGATTTTAGTTGGTTCAGAAAGTCTCCGGTATTATTGGAGTATTTATCAGAAATTATTTTAATACCACGTTATTTTCTCTGCAGTGTTCAGAGTGTCCACAATGTTGTACAACTATGCAGTTGCCTATCCCGAACAGTTTTGTCTAAAATGGTACTTTAGCTGACAACTTAAAACACGTCTGATTAATTATCAGTGAACCTTTCTGGTATCAAGATAGATCATCAATAAGATCCAACTGTCTTCTACTTGTGTTTCTGAAAGGTGAATGTGCTCTTATATGTTTGTGTTATGTAGTTCAGTAACACTACATCTTTGACTACTCCCCTTTCAACGCTCGCTATTTGAGGATTTTTTGCAAACAGGGATGTATTTTGAAAGGCTCCTGCAAGTTAATTCAATTTTTTTTTTTTAAGTTTTAAAGTAATCATTAATATAATTGCAATGGGCAATTGCTTTCTTTTTGAAATGTGCTTATG